TTAAAAATTGCATTTCCTTGGTTCGAATGAAGACAAAATTGATCATGTCATGTTGCTCTATTGACTGGAAATTCAATAGAGCAAGATAGTTGTTGAAGAGTTCCACCACCTTGCTTCATCCATTTTAAAATTCATTGTGGCATTTTTTCTTGAAGGTCAGAACTATGTCTTATAGTTCTCTGGGCCTTCTACAGTGCTAAGAACATAGCCGTGCTCAATAAACACAACCATTACTTCCATGAGAAGCAATAGAGCTTGATTGCGTGTGTCTGTGACTTGGGAGCCAGTTGTCTGAATGCCCATTGCACTATTCTAAAATGGAACAAAGTTCAGGCTGTTCATCGTGGCTACATTTTATATTACTTAAAGGGACATATTCACAAGCCTGCAGCCACTTACAAATGTTCATGGAGGAAAAGCAAAATTCCTTTGTACGTGCTTATGTCAGCAGGCCTCACATCCTTCAAGTTACGGCTCATCAGTAGAGCTGAACATTTAATAAAGTTATTAATACAGTGAAATAAAGCAATTGCTTTCGTAAAGGAGGTTTTTTTCTTTTTCCTCCCTTATTATTGCCTGCAGTAGGAAGATGTCTCCAGTTTGGTACTGATGCAAAATGAAGAGGAAAGAGGCTTTCTTTCTTCCCTCCTGTTTCAAAGCTGGCTTCGCTGAGCGGAAGGGTTTCGCATCACGTCACACTGAGTCACGAGACCCATGAACAGAAATTGCCAAAACATGCTTTAAGCACGTGTGAACATTTAGGAAGTGACATTTTCCACGACTGTTTCAACTTTTTTTATTTTGTATGTTTAAAATTTGCAGAATAAAAAGTTGGGAAAAGAAAACAAGAAAAATAAAGATAGAAGTAGGGAGGAAGAGGGACCATTATTTCCTTATCTGACTTTTAAGCAAGCCAACATCCTCCAAAACACAGGAAGTATTAAACGATTGCCAAAAGCCAGCACAGACTGGGAGAGTCAAAATATTCATAAGGCAATTAGTATATATTTGTAAGGCTGTAACTATCTATAAGGCTGCCCATCAGTAAGTTATTATTGTTCCAGCATAGAAAACAGCAAAAGTGATGACTGCACAGATGAAAAGAAATCTCTCTTCTCTGGAGTCCCACACCCCAAGAAACAGGACCCCTGCTTAGTCCCGTCTGTGTTTGCCCACTCTCCCCCTTACATCAGGGGCCACGCCAGAGATGGGGTCTTCCTGGGGGTTTTCCAAACTGGAATGAAGAGAACAGTCTCTCTCTGGTAGAGAACTGTAAGAATCAGAAGCTTGTTCTCTGTCTGTGGTGAACAATTTTTAAATCAATATGGAGACAAAGAGATAAGAATCGCTCAGAGAACTGAATGCTAGAAGCAGCCACCGTGCAGAGGTCAGGAAGATGAGGAAAGACAGGCAAAGACCTACATCACAGTAACAATCCAACCCGGGAAATGGTCATTTTCAGGACTCTATTTGGGATCAAATTATCTTCATTTACTCCTTGTTTCATGGTTACAGCTAACATTTTAAAACCAGAGTGTCCCAAATTTTTAGGTCAAGTCCTGCTCTTTTTCCTGAACTAATTCCTACTTGAAAACTCCACTTGGGTATCTTAGAGGCATCTCAACTTTGATATGGTCAAAACTGAACTCCGAATCTTCCTTCAAACAATTGTTCCCCGCATTGCCTCCATTTCAGTTGCTAACAGGTTCTTCCTTCCAGTCGATCAAGTTTAAAATGTTGGCGTCTTTAATGCCTCTCTTCCTCACATGCTACATATAACATCCAGAAATGCCTCAACCTGGCCAGGCCGGACTCTCATCACTTGTCACCATCTCCACGGACCCTACAGGGTCCACGCTCCTTTGTTTCTTGCCGCGATTACCCTAATAGCCTCCTTGCTTCCTTCCCTCTTGCCCTCGTAACCACACAGCAGCCAGAAAATGGCTTCTTGTCTCAATTATAAGTCAGATCACAACTCTCCTATTTTGGATCCTTCAAATACAGAGGAAAAATATTTACTATTTTCTATAGGAATAAAAGTGAAAAATATTTTATTATCTAATTGAATTTCCCTCTACTTACCTCCTACCTCACCCTCCTCCCACCCCATTCTGCCCCAGCTATAGTCTCTTTCCTTTGCTGATCTGAGGTATAGAAGTGCAGACACCCTACCTCGGAGGCTTCACACTTGCTGCTCCTTCTGCCTCACACACACATCTCCCAGAGACAGCCTGGCCAGCTCCCTCCTTCAGGCATCTATCTGCTCATATTGCATAGAGGAGTCTTCCCAAGTCCCTACACTAGCACCCTCCCCCTGCTTGTCCCTATATTATTTATGTTTCCCTCTCACTTAGAATGTCCTTTCCGCTCCATGAAAATAGGTATTTTGCTCACTACTTGTTTTCTTAGCACCCAGGACCATGCCTACCATGTGGTCGGCACACAAAAATATGCTGCACAAACCATTCAGAATCCTTTCAGTGTCTCACATTTCAACCTCTTTTACCGACACTGGCTTGAACTGGTCCTCATACTGGTGGGAAGTCATTCACCTTAAATTTTACCTCAGTCACATTTCTTAATCAGATTACTTACTGATAATGTTTCTCTCTACATTTTCCTGTCTTCTCACATTTAAATCCCTGAAACAGCTGCCATTTAACAATTTTTTCAGCATTCAGAAAAAGCCCAGTTCTCCTTTGCTACTGTAACTTATTATAATATTGACTATAGTAACTTGAGCTAATAATTTTTATTCAATTGATTTAATATTTGAAAGTCATGAAACATTCATTTCCACCCTGAAACTATAGCTTCTCTTCTCAAATGAAATCCCAAATCAAGAGCAGTAAAATGCAGAATTCTACAGTCCAGTCCCCAATTAGGAATCCTCTCCCGCCTTTGAATTATCCAAGTTTGTTGCTCCTTCCATTTCTCCTTCCTGTTCAAATTTTAATCAGGGTCAGGATTTTTTCTAGCACTGGTCCATTGGAAGATGAGAAAACACGACACATCAAATTATTTTATGTACTTGACCACAGTCATAACCAAAAAGCAGCTCCTGGTAGTGCAAGCATGTGGGTTAAAATGGGGACGGGAGAGTAATGAGTTCATTTGTCTGTTATCCTTGGTCTCATCTATCCTAAAGGTCCACAATAACTAAGACCTCCCTGCAAAGACAGTCAATGGGTGCAGACCAATTTTCCATCAGGGGAGAGAGATCTCCGACTCTTGGCTCCTACAAGTCACCTTGTGCTTCCTTTGATGCCACTCCTCCAGGCTTTTTAGCAGTCACTTCATTACCAAAATGTCCCAGTGGTTTCAATGGACCCACATAAATTTATATTTACACTTAGGCAGCACTTTCAAAAAAATGAGAATAAACTTGTAAAGGAATCAATCCCCATACCATTTTATAGTTCCGTTTTTTAGTTTTACTTGGTGTTAATGGGATTTTAAAATGTCATTATGGATTTATTTAAACTTCAACCTATTAACTTAAGCTTTTGACATCTGGAATCTGCTGTTAAGACTAGATGTCAAAGATAATTTTAAGAATATTTCAAGGGATTAACTATTCTGAAAGTTGTAGCTTTAAAAAAAACATTTGTCAATGTTACTTCTGGGTTTGTATTTACCAGAACTAAAAGGAGAGTACGGAAGAGACAGTTGCACATATGTGTTCACAGCAGTGCTATTCACAATAGCCAAGAGGTGGAAGCAACCACATGTCTGAAGGATGGATAAATGAAATATGGTATTTACATACAATGAAATACTATGCACCTTTAAAAAGAAAGGAAATCCTGTCACATGCTACAACACGGATGAACTTTTGCGGACATATGATAAATGAAATAAGTCAGTCACAAAAGGACAGATACTCTGTCTTTTAGGACAGATGCTTAGAGTGTATACGCAGCATTTATCCTTATAATGCAACTAGAGGCCTGGTGAACGAAATTCATGCATGGAGGAGGAGAGTCCCTCAGCCCGGCCTGCACCCTCTTGCAGGACCCCTCTTGGAGTGACCAACTGCCCATACCTGTAGGATTGGACCTAAACCGGCAGTCAGACATCCCTCTCTCAACCTGGGACCGCTGGCTCGCCTGCCTGCCTGCCCAATCGCCCCTAACCACTCCGCCTGGCTGCTTGATCATCCCTAACCACCTCTGCCTTGGCCCTGCCGCTGCGGCTTCATCTGGAAGGACATCTGGATGTCTGGTCTAATTAGCATATTACACTTTTATTATTATAGTTTTCCTTTTAAACCACACACCAAAAAACCTTCCATAAACTTAGCATTTATTAACTACATCAAGTACAGAGTATCTTAAATTATAGTTTATCAATTAGGGAGGAATGACTAAGTATACAACGCGAAGAGAAACTGGCTATTCTATCGTATAGTTCATCTTTGTATCTGATCTATGTCTGTCTTGTCCATTAAACAGACAGTAAACTCCAGTGTTTGGTTTTGTTTGTTCACCATTGTATCTCCAGGGACTAATACTTAAGTATTTATTAGATAAGTGAATATAAACACTTGAAGATGTAGTAAAATCCAGTTCTATAAGCACCAAGTTCAAGTGTAGTAAGAGATATACCATAAAAAGAGGCAGAATCAACTTTCAAAAAACTAATTTTAATCAAAACAAAAATTGTTGATCATTAACAAGTTTATAAAACAGTGATTTAGTTACATAAATAAATTGATATCAGTGTATCAAATCTTAATTACTTTCAACTTCATGAGCATGTTTACATGGGTGATGAAGTACAACCTTTTTTTTTTCTTTTTACCTATTATAATAAATAAAATGGAGCGCATGAAATAGTTCTTCTAAACAAAAATACCTACAAACATACCTCTAGCATGTTCTCTAATGAAGGGAACAAGAGACACTGGACAACTTTTGCACCAAAACATAAAAATTGCTTTAAAAAGCACAAGGTTACAGAACCATCAGCTAAAGTAAAGACACTATACTGTAACCAAAGTTGGTATTTCATAATATAATGAACAGTTTGGTAGTTAGATCTCCAGTTTGGTTATTTTAAAGCATTAAGACAAGGCAAGATAGAAGGCTGCTTTTGTTTTGAGTAATTCTAGAGAAAATAAAATATATTTTAAAAAAAAGAAAGAAAACTGAAAATAGAACAGTCCTACCTACACAACTTTCTGTCCTGCACAAAGTCAAAATACCTATGCAGAAGAGACATATAATATATATAATGTTATTTGTGCACAAAGGTTAGCTTATTAGCTCACTGCAAAGGCGTTATGTATCATAAGTCAATTGTTCTGGAAAACATTTTGCGTTTGTGTCAAAAGGATATTTAAGTTTCGTAGGCTAGGAGGCACGAACCCCAGTTCCGGCATACTGTATATTCTTAATGCTAAGGCTTGCTGCTCTGGCTGTGTTTTTGTTGTCCTTCTTTCTTCTAGTGCCTGTTACAAGCATGTGTGGTGTAGTGGTTGTTGTTGTTGTTGGTATGTGTGTGTGTCTGGTGTCTGTATCTACATATATATGTATACATAAGTTGTATAAATATACATATACATATATAATTTCTCCCAAATAGATCTCAGTCCAACCATGCAATCCAAAGGTGGCTCTGCATAGATGCCCAGTATGAAGTTCACCGCCTGAGCCAACCCTGAAGCAAGGCGCACTTTTAGTCCCTCTGATAGGTTTTCTCTCATTTTGTTTTTGTTTAAAACCAAGCTACTGCAGCTTCAAGTATTTTGCATTACATAGAATATTTTTTATAAATTAGTTAATGTTATATTTTCAATATTCAGACATATACTATAATATATATACAGTACAATAAATGCTCTCATTCTTTAATTTTTTTGATAAATCCCTGAGAATGTATGTTGACAGTCGCTAAGTTTCCACATGCACAAGCATCGTGTGCCATGCTTCTGGACGAACAGCATTGCAAAGCCACGTGGGTCAGCCTTTAACTACTAGTATTTCATTTTGTTGGTTTGTTTAAATATGCTGAAAATGTAAAGATGAGTTACAAAGGAGTAAAGCTGAATCCATTCGAGGTACTTCTCACAGGATGGAGGTGTTTGTTTGGTTTTTAAAGCCATTTCAATTATTTTTTTTGAGGCTGTGAACGTATACAGAAAACAGGAGAGCTATGTGGACTTTTGCCACTTGACAACATATACTCAGTGTAAACCAAACCTTTTTAACGTCTCTCTCATACAAAAAAAAAAAAAAAGAATTAAAAAATAAAGTAAAAGGAAAGAAGAGAAGAGAAAGGGTAGAAAAAAATTAGGAACACATGAACTCTCACAACATGACAATTTAGTCTGCAAACGCAATAGAACTATACACATATAATACCGGTGTGGCTCTGTTCTTTAAGTTAAAAAGGATACAAAGGCAGGCTCAAGTAAAAACAAACCATCCCTCCCACCCCCACCCCCACCCCATTCATACAACTTCTATCAACCAAACCTCTCCCGAACCAACATCATCAGTTTCTTTTTGCCTTTGTAGATTTGTTTCAGGTTGTCAATAAACTGCGTAAACTGAATGTGTCCGTCATGCGCCATTAGGAAGGTCTCTCGGGCCTTGCTGAGGAACTCTATGAACTCGCTATAGTGCCGAGGACTAATGTGGGTGAGTCGCGAATGCGTTGTGTTGATGTAGGCCCCGATCGTGGCGTCCAGGAGCTGCCTCAAGGGGGCTTTGTCCAGGGACATGAGCTTACCAGAGTTCCTCCTTCCATGAAGTCCCACCATGCCAGGGGTGGTCAGAGTGCACCTGCGCAAAATGTCTGACAGTACCGTTGCACACTTGACACTCTTGACCACCAGAGGTATTATAGCTGCAAGCTCGTTTTTACCGAGGGAGTGGCTGAGCGCACAGGCCCACAAAACGTCATTAATGGCAGGGTGCGTGTCCTGATTGTAGCTCAGGTTGAGATGGGTCATGGCCAGGGTGGCCAGCTTGTAGGCCCTCATGGGGTACCCGCGGTGCTCCATGTACCGTGCTATCGTGAAGAGCTGGGTGTAGCTCATGCCGGTGGTAGCAGCGTCGAGAACAATTTGGTACGCCGTCTCAAAGGCTATGTGATCCTTCTCACATAGGGTGAGTGCGGAGAGGGCGCAGTTCTGAGGGTCCTTCATGGCACACTGCAATGCGAGTGTCCGGGCACTGCTGGCCAGCTTTTCCTGCTGATGGTGCTGTTGGACATCACCGTGGTTGCAACTATACTTGTGGCCTCGGTGGGAGTGAAAAGCGTAAACCAGCTCTGCATGATGCTGTCTAGGGCATAAACACCTGCGAGGAACAGAGAAGCCTTATTACTGACAAGGACGCTGCCTAGAGATCTGGCCTTATCTTCACTTCACAATCAATGCTTACATCGTTAACTATCACCAGACATGAGCAAGGCCAGAAAATCCTATAAGGTAATGTGCCTGGGAGCAACCTTTTAGAATAAAGTTATTATGGATTGTTATTCAGTGAAGTGCCTGAAAGGAACATGAACTTCCTGTAATACAGAACTAATCCTCTCCGTAGCCGGTATTTGCACTGTGCTGCTTGCCATTTCAGACAATGGCTTTTTGCTAATGAGTTCCAGTTCACTGGGGCCTCCTGTCAGATACTCACTACAGAATCTGTAGTTTTTCTCAGAAAAACCACAACCCCCAATAAAACAGGTAGTTTTTATGTGGTGTGTGGGTTTGTGTGTAAGTTTAAAATACACATGATATAAAATGATTAAGATACACAAAGAAGCAGGAAAATGTGACCCATAATCAAGAGAATAACTTCAACAGAAGCAGACCTATAGATGACTCAGATGTTGGAAATGGCTGACAAGAACTTAAAAATAACCATTTTAAGTACACAGACCCAACATGCCTCAGCTGTAGAAAAGTCCTAAAGGTGAATGTTTAAAGAGAAGGTACTAAATTGCAGAGAAAAATTAGGCATATATCTTGGTGCAGAGGAAGGGGAATTGTGTGGCAGTTCTTAAGGTGGTTTTACTTTATATTGTTTCACTAAAGCATCACATCAATAATATAAACATAATTTTTATACTGAGACCAATTTACCTTTTCCCAAAATAGCAAACCATCACAAATTAATAAAAGAAGAATAATAAGAATGACTTTACAGTATCTGCTGTGTCAGTTTCTAAATACTGAGGTGGTAGTGTCCTCTCAGCAAGAGGTATGTGTCCTTTTCTGATGCAAACAGGAAGAAAGAAAGACAGGTGAACCAACATTCATTTTCAACAGCCACCATTTTGCTGGTGTTGGTGCTTCTGCTGCGAATGTAGTTTTTTCAGCACTGACTGCTGCAGAGGGGAAGCAGGCAGCTAAAAGGTCTCACAAATTGCAGCTTGGGGGATCTTCTTATGGCTAGCTACAGTATCTCACACATCTGAGAGCTCACCTGAACCATACCCAGTGGTCATTTCTCTGCTGGGCAGCATGACAAGGCCTGAGAGGATGAAGAAAACACTCCGAGCAAATAGGCAACTCTATCATTTTACTGAAATGGACTGAACCACTAATCCAGTCTCAAGTTAGTTTCAAAGGTGGGCTCCAATCCACCAAGGATTCATGCTGGAACCCTTTAATATAAAATTGTAACCTGGTTATCACAAAAAGTTACTAAAAGCACCTTAATAGTGACAGAACAATTGGATAAAAAGTGTTTTCTCACTGACCTATTCCATTTTAGTGAGTTTGGAGCCCCAAATACTTGACTGTTTGGAAGAGGAGCAATGCAAGTGTGTACAACTGAAGGCTGGAGGGAAGGGAGCCCCTGTTGGTTGCTGGAGCGGCAGGAGCCTTGGAAAAGTCAAGGTGAAAGAGGGAAGAAGTTCTTGTACCTATAATTGAGGAGTTAAATCTGACAGGAGGTATCTGGGGAAGCTCCTCCTCCAGAGTTTACCTACCCACTTCAGTAGCACACGTTACCAGCCATCTGACCATCTCCCGCCGTCGCCAATTTAAGGTTGACAGTGTCATTCGCATAACCTATAAAGAAAGATAGGAAAACAAAGTGTTTTGGAAGATTATCCCAAGTCAGTGGAAATATAAAACAATTCATTCCAAGGTATAACTACAAAGCAGTCCCCCTATTAGCAGGAGGACGGAGGGACATATTTAGAGAAAGCTCTGCATATGAATTTGTCCATGGCTCTCCCAGCCTTGTCCCAGTCAGAGAGGCAGGAGGTCCACACTCTACTCCTGGTGGGCCAACTGACCAGATGCAGCATCCTGGACAAGTCACTCAATCACTTTTCTTATCTACAAAATAAGAGGACTGGGCTGAAACATTAAACACAGTCCAGGCCTCATCTTCTCCCCAACTTTAACATTCCATGGTTTTAGATTCCTGAGGCTCTCCTGAAATAATTCTGATTACAAACCCTCAGATGGCAGAGGTATTTTAGTCATTATTTCAGTCTCTGGTTCTCTTATTTGGCAAGTGTGAAGATAACCTCAGGTCCATGGAAAGAAATCATCTTTGGCATCATTAGTGATCTGATTTTGTTTTTCACTTTCAAATAAGAGACCCCAAGATAAAATATCCCTCTGTTCTTATTTCCCCTATTTTTTTAAGATTCAGAAAATCTAGGCACGTAACTCCTAAAGCCTTGGAAAGGCCCTGTGGGATTTCTTTGTGTCCTACAAGGAATGAGGCAGGGAGAAAACTCTCAGTAACCTGCCATTTATCCCCCAAATCTGCCAGGATTCCAAATACCTGGAAAACTTGTATTAATGTATGTTTTTTTTCTGCATACCTTTAAGAGGCAAAAGAAATAAGCCAAATAACCAGAATTCATTTTTATAAAGAAACTTCTAAAATGTCATTTTATTGTTTAAATGCAATCAATCTCCGATACCAGTGAGATGATGAACCTTTTGAGCTTGGTGTGTCAGCATTTGAAAAACTCTAACTTAACTCTGGTGCCGTGTCACATATAAACATTTTTTGATATTTGCAACCATAGTAAAACAAAGATTCATATTTTTGATATTTATTTTATATATTTAAATGCCATTTAACAAAGAAAAATCAACCAAAAAAATGAGCTCACGTGTCACCTCTGACATGCGTCATAGGTTCGCCATCACTGTCCTATACCCTCTGCTCGTATAGTACTATATACGGTAATTGTATTTTCTTGTAATACAATTCTTTAAACTTTATTAATTACTGTAAGGAGAATCCATAACTAGAAAACTAGATTAATCACCTAATCAGGGTATTCCATGCCCCATACTTTAGGTAACTAGAGGATAAAAATGTCTTTCACTGCTTTTCAAGGAGGGGGAAAAAAAGCCCCCATAAATGTATACAGAGATTTCCCGAGAAAAGTAGAAATATAAACTTTACAGTTCTGGGTTTATACAGTAATCTGTTCAGAAACTATAAGAAAGCAAACCTCTATTGGCATAACTAACTGAAAATGTCCTGGGTAATTTGTCTAAGTGGCTTGCTGAATGCTGAAACTGGCCCCTGGCACTATCACTCCTTCTTTTTCTTTTTTTTTAAATATATTTTTTATTGATTTCAGAGAGGAAGGGAGAGGGAGAGAGAGATAGAAACATCAATGATGAGAGAGAATCATTGATCGGCTGCTTCCTGCATGGCCCACACTGAGGACCAAGCCTGCAACCCAGGCATGTGCCCTTGACCAGAATCAAACCTGGGACCTTTCAGTCCATAGGCTGATGCTCCATCGACTGAGCCAAACCAGCTAGGGCCATCACTCCTTCTTTACCTAATTTCTCAGGGTTATAAAAGAGAGTGCTTTGGCTGGTTTCTCAGTGGTTAGAGAGTCAGCCTACGGCCCAAAGGTCCGATTCCTGGTCAATGACAGGTACCTTGATTGCAGGTTTAACCAGTTGATATCTCTCTCTCTCACATCAACGCCTGTCTGTCTGTCTCTCTCCCCCTCTAACCTCCCTCCCCCTTCCACTTTCTCTAAAAATCATGGAAAAAATACCCTCCCTCTTTGGATGAGGATTAAATTAAAAAAGAGCTAGAACTACCCGTCTATTATGAAAATGCAAACATCAATAAAAATTCATACTTCCTCTAAAAATTTACCCCTAACAACTGAATCTTTATTATACACTAGAGGCCCGGTGCACTAAATTCATGCACTGGGGGGCGGGGGCGGGTGTCCCTCAACCCAGTCTGCACCCTCTCCAATCTGGGACCCCTCGGGGGGAGTCCCATAACCCCCAACTGCCCTCCCTTACTGGTCTGATCGCCCACAACTACCCTCCCCTGCCAGCCATCTTGTGGCTGTAGGTGCTGCCATCTTCGAGGGTGGGGCAGTCAATTAGCATATTCCCTCCTTATTAGATAGGATGATAGCTTTATTTAAGTCTCTAATGAGCAATAATCCTTCTCATTCATTAAAGGAGAAAAGGTGACATTAAGGCTATAGAAAATTATTTTTTTATTTGAAAGACACATATCAAATCAGCCTTCTAAATGTCAATCCAGTCCTTGCACCTCAGGCAGTACCTGGTTCAGGGGAAATGACCTCAGCTCTGAAGCACAGTGCTCTCCCGAAAGTCTAACAGACTTATGCACCCAACTCATTTACCTGCACTAAATAAATCCAAGTAAGCAAACAGAAACAACTTCAAAATGCTGCCTTTATTTAGCAATCATTGGTATCCTAAGAAAGACCATCAGTCACATACCTGCAGGCCCAGCTCCAGAGACACTTTCAAAAGAGTGATGTCTGGCAAAGTGTCCATGAGAGTTGCTATTTTAAATGCATCCTGGGCAAGCTTGAAGATGTGGGATGAGGAGTGAATGTTTTTCTGGATGGATTCTAATACTGTTTCCAGCCTCCGAACATCGCCTGCAATGAACAAGGAAAAACCAAACCAAATCAAATCAAAGCAAAATAAAAACAAACAAAAAAATCATACCAAACACACATATACAAAGGGAAGTAAAAAGGAAACAAAATAAACATAAAGCAGAAGTTAATTTCCCTGAAATGTTCACAGATGGCACAGATGTTATAACTAAGTCACTGCCATGTCTATGAATCTTGGCTTCACCCAAAAGAAACACTGAAACAAACCCTCAGTGACTAAAAACACATGTGACCCAGGACCAACACGAGATAACAAATAGCTCTCCTAGTTCCTACTTATATATGTTTGGTGAATACTTCAGGGAAAGAAAAAAATATAACCAAACTTTTCAATCTCCTTCTGAATCTCAACCATCACTCACACAGCATGGCAACTAAACCTGAACTTTGCCACCAACAGGTTTAATGATGCAGTTAAAAGAGGAAAATGCCAGGCTCAAATGAACAACACCTATTTTGCCCCATAAGCTAACACTAATGAAAAGTATCCCTACAACCCACTACTGAGAATCTGACAGCAAACATGACCCTTAAACAAAAAGGTAAACTAACAAAATAATCATGAGGCCTCAGGACAATCCAATACCTTTGGCTGCAGTTAGCATGGTGGACGCCAGCTCACACTGCTGGGATTCTATGTGGCTTAAAGTGAACCAACGAGGGTATCGGTTGGGAACAACTGACGCAATGTGGTGTGGGCGGGTGAGGTCTCCTGCTGGAGCAGCAGATTCCAATACTAGTAACCTGTAACGAGAAGAGACAGGGTAGGTGGCTCCTGGTTATCACTCATCTATCATCTTTGCCACGGGGACTAGCCTATTGCCAGAGGAGTAGGTAGATGCTGGGAGAACCGGTCAGTCCTTGTGCAGGAGGAGCTGGTACAGCTACACTCTGCTGTCTGGATGCCAAAGTCATCTTGTTAATTACTCATTATCCAAACCTTAGGGATTTCTTTCTTTAACATTGTTCAGAAAATTGCACAATTCAAAGAAATTAAGATATGTAATAATGAAGTATGAAACTCAGTCTTGATGTTTACCTACTTTCAAGTTTTTGAATCTTACCACTCATTAAAAAATAGAAATCAACAGAAAACTAACAGTGAAGTGGATATTAAGACTTAGATTACAACTGTCAGGGATCAGGTGGATAACTGAGATATATATGCTTAACTTACTAAAACACAACATAAGAGGGAAAGTAAAAAAAAAAAAAAGACTCCCTTTCCATTACTCATACATTCTAAAAAATGAGTTCCTTATTCCTTCAGGCATTTGTAGTTAGAATAGGTTCTATCATATATATCAGAAGATGAGGAATGCATATGATCCAAGTATTTGTCCTTGACAGTCTCGTATAAATTCCGTGAATTTCCCGTTTCAATCAATCTTTGATTAATATGTTGACAAATAAAGAATAACTATTAAAAACAAAGCGCATGCTTAGTGATTGTCTCCAAATATAACTGCCAAAGAGATCAGTAGAGTAGCTATAACTGAAATAATTCCTCTACAATCATCAAAACACTGATCTTTAATCCAGTACACCAGTATTAGGAACTACAGAATAAGAGCTGGGGATCAAGAGTTAGCAAGGTCAGGGTGTGAAGCTGGCCTTGGGGCCCCATCCAAGAGCAGGTACTGCTCTGGTAAATCAAATGTCTCATTATCTTTTCCCTTTATGTAGGGACAAAGAGATGTTAGCATTAGAGGATGGCAAGGTAGTCAATTAAGTAATAAGCATTTTGCTGGGGTTGCTCTTTAGTTAAAAAAAAACACACAAAAACACCCAGAATGTTCCTGAATTAACAGGCAGATCTTTCCAGAGTTGTTGTAGAAGAAACTAGTCGACCCCCCTGGAAAGATGAGAAAATGAGTGCTGAAAGCACCCTTCCCTAGCCCACCACACCTACTTCCAGAAGGACTAAGCAGCAAGTAAGCTACAGGTCTCTCTTCCTTCCTGTTCCCATGGCTGCCCTAGGAGGTCCCACCACATAGTCCTTTGGCAGGGGGATGGTGGCAGATAGAAGAGAAGAGAGATGGGAAAGCAATTCCCTTGTGCCCTTCTAGTACCCCGTGAACAAACTGCCTGGGCAGCAACCAAGTACAATCATAAAAGAGTTTCTGAGTGTCAGCCTTAGCATAAGCCAGACACACAGAGAAATCTTATGCTATTTTCCTCTTAAACTTTACAATGGTCAGAGCAATTGCATCTGGTGGCATCATAACATTAGCATCCTTCCCTTTACACAGGAGCACAACTCTCAAATTTGAATAGGTATAGAGCTGAGCATGTGTCTTCATCTGACAACTTTTGGCTTCCAAACATGGGAATAGGAACTTACTAAGTGTGCTTTAATACTTTGTATGCCATAAGCGTCTATAGACGCAAGCGAGATAAAAGTATCTTTGGACATGTGGCAGTTAATTGGTTAAAACACAAACCAAGTGGTATAAAATAATTTGGTGGGAAACTTTGCTTGTTAGTTTTAAATTTATTTTTTGGTATTTTAAAAATAGACAAGAGGATTTATAAGGTTTCTCTAGTAGGTAAATGAAACTTCACATTGCCAAGGGAAGCATGTGAAATTGAAAGATGTCAGCCTCAGAACACACTGACACACAGGTACACACACACCCTCATCACTGCACCAAAAAAAGGCCTCTGAGAGATGAGCTACACACATAAAAAGGCAAGAGCTTGATTTGAACCCACTGTACTGGTTGCAGACATAGAGTCTTTGATGAAAAGTTTCTATGGGATCTAACTATTCTCCGGCACCACAAGCTTTTAGGTTATGTTCATGGTTTGTCTTTAGGTGACTATAATGAGGTCTAATCTGCACTTTAACATAGAAGTGCTTTAATTTTTTTTTTAAAGGAAAAAGTTCATGTTTTAAGAAAGGTAGATATTCCTTTCAGGTCCTTGAAGCACAATAGGCTACAAATAATACTGACAAATACATCTTGAAGTCACTAAAAAATATTCACCAAGAACAGATTGGCAGTAAAAATAATTATCTGGTGAACTGACTTTTAAAAGAGAAGTGAAAATAGAAAGGTGAGTGGCAGAGAACATACTCTAATTGTTATTGCTGAAGAGGAAGGGCTGGAGAGGACATGGCAGCAGTCAGTGCTGAGGGGGGCAGATCCTGGCAGACCAGCATCTGTCCTCCTCCTGAAGCCTTCAGCACTAGAAACTGTCCCATCCCCGTCACCCTCCACTGAAGTGCAGGGTATGACAGCAGTCAAGGATACCATCTTCCTTTTAACCAGAAGTCAAACAAGCCCACGGCCCATGAACAAACCACTACACAATCCAAGAAACATATAAATAAATATGTTCTGTAGATTTTCTGCTGCCTACAAGAAACATGAATGAATGAGAAATCAGTGAACAGCCATTCCTCCCAGGGGGGAATTTGGATTGCATCTGCCCGGCTGGGCTGTGAATACGTACCGCATTGCTCTCAGTGCAATTTTGTATGCCAATTCAGCATCATGAGGTAGGAGAGAGGTGAAGAGATACTTGGCAAATGTGTGCATTGGAACGCTCTCCCGATGGATTATTTCGCCTAAACCACTATATGGTCCGGCTGTGGGAAGAGAGCATACACATTTTACATTCCTAAAAAAGGAACTAAGACTTCATGTAAAGTATATCTTAAAATTGTTATGTAAAGTTATAACATATACAAGCCAATCTAGTTAAGAATGTAATCTAAGTCAGCTGTCGCCAACCGGTGGTCCGAGGACCACGGATTGTCTGCGAGGTCTGAAAGGTTGGCGACCACTGATCTAAGTGGCACAGTAGAAGGAATACAGATTCTTAGTCAAAAATGATTCTATAGGCTATGGTTTTCAAAGTCGAATTTACTTCAGGAACAATCCTCCAACTGCACCACAGCTGAAATGAGCATCAAAGAAATAAAGGGCAGAGCTTTTTCACATTATAACCGCTTTGGAGAAAGAAACCTTCCAATGTATAAAACCTCACTGAATTCAAGAAACATCCTCTGTACATGTGTATGTTCCAGCATCCAGATTTTCAAATGCACAGATAACTTTGCCGCTTAACTTTGGAACCTGTGCCTGGTCCCTCAGTCTCAAGGGCACAGACAAGCCAAGTTTCCAGAAAAGAGTGCTCTGAAGGGTTGGGGAGGATTCTGAAACACAAATCTCAATACAAAGACTTTAAACATTGTTTCTTCTAATAAGCAGAAATACTGATTCTCAGAAAGTGATTAATAATAAGAGAATAGTTACCCATTTGATACTCACCGTAGGCAAAAGAAAAAAAATTAAAGTAACTGAAAATTTACTTTTTGCGCTCCAAAAGACCAATTTTAAAAGCAAAATTACATTGAAGCAGCCAAAATTCATTTCTTAGTAAGCTATGACAGGGATGGTGGCAGAGCTGACTTCCCTTGTGACCTCTGAATGCTACCCTAGGAAGGGCAATACAGATTTTTAAATTTTTAAAGGAAACCACAGTGGTTAGTTCAACTACTTTCCACTTACGTACCTTGAGGTTTAGTTACTGTAAACTGTATAATAAATTAGTTTCCATGTCACCTTTGGGTAAAAACTGTTTCATGATTTCTAGAGTTATGAACCATGACACTACTGCTCAAAGGACATAATGCATTTGTTTTCCCTGAGAAAAAAATCAGTCTTGTGAAGAGTTTAAAATGCAAGAAATGCAAAAGAAACAGTGAGAGGAGTTACTGCACTAGCATGGAATAGGAACATTACGTATTACATATTATAGATAATTTTAATAGAGGTTATTTTTAAATTTCATTAGTATTTTTGAATTATTTGTTTTAAGTACTTGACAAATCATATAGTAAACACCATTTTTTTTTAACCTAGGTAAATTAAAATCCATCCTACATTTCTAATTTTACCAAACCTATTCAACTTTTTCTTGTGTTTAAGATATTTAAAAATGCTTTAATGATCTGGTATTCTTCAAAAGCTGAAATAGCATTATACTAGTAGTTCGACCTTTAGCTCATATAATGAGGCCAAATTATTTAGGTTATTATTATGAATTGAATGCTTGTTATCTCCCACCTCAATTCATTATGTCGAAGTCCCAACTCCCAAAGTGACTGTATTTGGAGAAAGGGCCTTCATAAAGATAATGAAGGTTAAATGAGGTCAGAGGGTGGGGCCCTGATCCAATAGGATTAATATCCTTATAGGAAGAGACAGCAGAGAGCTAGAGCTTTCACGCATGCACCTTCTCTCTCTCAGGCAGCTGTCTACAAGCCAAGAAGAAGGACCTCACCAGAATCTATACTGACCAGCACCTGACCTTAGACTTTTCAGCCTCCAGAACTGTGAGGAGAAAATTTCAACTGCTTAAGCCACCCAGTCTGTAGTATTCTGTTATGGGAGCCTCAACAGACTAAGACACTAACTCTATTTTACTTAAGAACTAAATATAGCAAATTTGTAGACTATTTTTTTCATGTCTCTTCCATTTCATTCCAATGTTTCCCCCTTAAACCATCAAGCTACCTGTTCACTATGCAGGAAAAGCCAGAATGCATAATCGGCACTTTGTTATGACTCTTACCAACAAGCAAAATATTCAGTCGAGTAACACCGAATTATTTGTGGCTTAATAATCACTGTAATTCAATAATCAGTGTATTGAATAATGAAAAACTGAAATTTGGTAGTAAGTTCCCCAGAAGTTTCCGACATCTGAGTCTGCTAACTATTGCACCCCTGAAATTCCTGGAGTACATTGATGCATAAAGAAGTTGGTGCCCAGTGCAGTCAACTCGACCATGAAGTGCCTATCTTCTGGAGTGGACAGAAAGGGTCCCTTCTTTCCTGTTGGACTGTTTCCTGTCCTATACCACCCACGCTCTGTGGGCCGAGCAGGGATGAGTCAACAGACTCTACATCAGGCACAGTTCTTATAAAAATATTTAATGGGGAGGTATGAACTAATCAAAGACTAAGACAGCTAAAAATTATTCATGAGTAATGAACATGGAGAACATTTTAAAAGGTAAATGATAAACAGATATCAGACACCCTCAAGACTGAAAAGCATACACCCTCTTCCTACTCTTCAATGTATTGGAAACCAAAAGCCAGTTACTAAGAGTCAGTGACATCATAAAAAAAGCTTATGGCTAATGATTTTGTTTATTTCAAAAGAAATTATGAGAGGAAAGTAAAAGAATCAAGATCACTTGAAATTTGCCAAGATAGGCTTTTATGTTTAGAAGAAAAAAAAAAACTTTAGCAGAGTGCTTCAAAAAATTAATATTAGAAATTTTTACCTAAATTAAGCATGCTATTAAAAACATTTTCTCTTTAGAATGCATTTCTAAAACACACATGTGTATAATGTATTGGTGAAAATATTTTCCTTCAAATAGATCTTTAATTTTGGAAAAATAAAAGAGGTTTTGAAATGCTATTTTCTCTAAATTCCTTCCCCATATGTAACAGTTCTGAATATAAGATGAAGACAGCACACTTTTTGAGCCTATCAATCAGAGAGAATCCCATAAAAATGACAAATGTGTACTTGAGAGGGAAGTCATTTTTATCAATTAGACATCACCTAAATTTACCATACTAATTACACTTAGTCTTTTCATGGAAAAAAATACACAAAACTGTGTTAAAAAAATGCCAGCCAAATTTGTTAGGCACTTTAGCTCTTAACCTTATGAAAAGAAGAAAATTGGGCTTTGCCTTAGAGAGTCTATGAAACTTTAACTTGCTGAATCTAATCCTAATGAATTCTCTGAAATAATGACTCAGCACAGTAGAGATCCACTCCTGCAGCTTTCAGTCCTTTTTTAGCATGTGCAAATGACATATTCAAAACCCAGACATCATGTAATAGCCAATAATTCAGAGGAATGCCAATCAATTTCCATTATATTATTTAATTGATCCAACAAAGAGGAATATGGCTACCAGCAACAGCTCACTAAATATCAAACTTGCATTTATCTCAGGAAAAACAAGCCAAAATAAAAACAGTCCTTTTCAGAGCTGGTGGCATTAAATGGGGCTCATTTCTAATAGGTTATCCTATGTGACCACCTAAATAAAATGATATAAATCTGAACATCTATGTTTTTTTATTAAGTAATACTATAATTGGATAATGAACACTCACTGACCATACTACCAGGATAACCACCATATTAAATACATTCAAACCTTATTCCCAACATAAATAAAATTGGCTGAATAAGTGGAAAATCTCTTTATTAAACTACCTTCTAATAGGAAGACTGCTTGCTTTCGAAAAATTTTCACCAGTGTGTCATCCAATTCAATTTCCTGAAGTTTAGAAATGAGCTGCTCCTCATTCCGGCAAACCTTCTCTTGTGTGTACAGCCCATCAGGCATGATACGCTGCTGTCCCAGCCCTATCAGGGCTACCTCCACAGCTAGTGTTAAATAGGATTCCCCTTCTTCTAAGAATTTGTGTGCAGGTAGATGCTGGTATTCCAGAGATTTGCACTGTCCCATATTCTCTGTAAAATGTCACAAAAGAAATCAGAGTTCAGAAACTACTTTTTCAGGTGCAAATATTTATTTTACCCAGTACTTGTAAATGAATTATTGACTTAATTCCAATAAGACCTAAAAACAAGCGTATAGCTTTCCATTATGTTTTCTAAATGAATAACTAGATGTTTATGTTTTGGGGGATAGAATATTACAAATATTTTTCCCATTGAAAATGAATCACCAAAGAAAACTATAAATCTAAGAGGAGATACTAAGAATACTCAAGAATGAGAAAACTTTTAATTAAACAAGTGTAAAATTATATGATGACTGCAACAGTTACCAATTCTTAAAAGCCTCACAATAAAAAAAGTTTGCATACTTTTATCACAATGTTAAAATCTATACTAATAAAAGGGTAATATGCTAATTAGACCAGATTGACCGGACATCTTCCAGAAGCCTGACTTCCTTCCGGACAAAGCCACAGTGGCGGGGGCTGAGGCAGAGGCGGTTAGGGGCGATCAGGCCGGCAGGGGAGCAAGCAGTTAGGGGCGAGATCAGGCCAGCGCAGGGGAGCAAGCAGTTAGGGGGCAATCAGGCCGGCAGGGGAGGGCAGTTGTGGGTGATCAGGCAGGCAGGCAGGCAATCGGTTAGGGGCCAGTGGTCCCAGATTGGAGAGGGTGCAGGCCGGGATGAGGGACTCCCCACCCCCCCCCCGCATGAATTTTGTGCACCAGGCCTTTAGTATATACCAGGCCTATAATAAAAACAGTAGAGAATACAACACATGTAACCCAATTTCAAGGGCCTTTTTGTTATCAAATAAGTCATCAGTTATCACAATAGTAATGATTCTTTGAGCATTCTCTTATCTCTGTTTCCATTAGAAACTTTAACAAACTTTCAACCACTGAACTCCCAAGGAAAGCACATTCACAGTCATACCTTTTGCCCTCCCAATAGAGTTTTGGGTCACCCATAATCCATGGAGGTAACCACCACAATAGACAATATGGAGGGAAGATAATAAACCCTCTGAGCTCACTCTACCCTGGGAGCAGCAAAGGGACAATCCTTTCTCACTCCCACATTATGCACATCCTTATTGTATATCTTTATGCTGGAAAACAGTCATCAATGCAAATACATTCTTAGATGCACAACCACTGACTAGAAGAGAATAAATACGCCTAAGGTTCTTTATACATGCTGTCAACTGTCGAATCTGAGCCTGCCTGAAAAGCAGAGAGTGCCTATTTCCTTTCTCTCTTGCTAGTTGTAGATATTGTTAACTGTAAGGATTCATAAAACAAACTGTGAAGAAAAATGACCACTGCCATTCAGAGTTTAGAAAAAAGGGCACACGAGACCAATGTCAAGGTTTTACCTGTGAAATTGGAGAATCCAGGGAAGCTTTCATCGTCCATGTGGCAGGCTTCCATAAGGCTGCTGAAAAGAGTGCCCACAGGGTCCAGAGGGTGTCCAACCCAGCCCTCCAGATTGGTTATCAAGGTTATGCTTTTATGGGGTAGCTCTGTGTAAGAAAAGGAAATTGAGAGATGAAAAGAAGTAAAGGGAGGAGAGGCTTTGCCATTTAAAGCAGCATCCTGACAAATTAATACTGAATTAAATTAAAAAACAAAGGAACATATAATCCCCAACTTGTGAACTATTTTGAATTTGGAAGATTCATCTATAAGTCAATATAAATGGTACTAACCTCCTAGGAAAGCTCCCAAACATCTACTTAATTCATGTGCTCAGGGTACAGTGTTAACATTGCAATGTACACTTTTAAATTATGTTGTATGAGCAAATGTCAATTCCAAACTGTCACCTGAGATGCTAGGGACAATTCCCCTCACTTCCTAAGAGTGACATTAGAGAGGACTAAAAAGTTGCCCCCAGAATTACCACTGGATAACTCTACAATTTTATTAAGAAGATGCTCTCAGAGTCAGTGCTCACTGGATCACCTAAGCTGGAGACTAGAGGGCAGTTGTCGCCTGGGTCAGACTTGGACTCCCCCATGAATATTATTAGCTTACTTCCCTATCACTTTATGAAATTGTTCCTTATCATGGATCAGTGAGCCATTTAAGGGAGGACCTTTGCCACAAAAAGCAACTATAGCAGAAGATAACATATCATTTGAATGAAACATATCCCTTTCATTTTTCACAGAATGTTAGCACTTTCAAGTTCTTCAGTTAAATTACAAAGTGCTGGAAAAAAGCTGCAAATATTTTAAAAGACATATTCCATTGTTGTAATGAATGCAACATTTTTACATCTTAGTGTTTACTAAAGTAATAAATGATAATAGCTCCTTCTTAAATGAACATATAATAAAATCTATATACAATCTTATATAATAAAAGCATAGAATGCAAATTGCCCCCTCAACTGGAGTTCTTCTGGGAGTTTGACCAGGGGGCAGACCGGCTTGGGGGAATTTCATGCACTGGGCCTCTAGTCTAAAGTATATAAGAAAAAACTGCTTGTAAATTGCCAAAGAGCCATTCCATGAATCCAACATTCCTTTAGAAGTTTTCTGGTTTGGACAATCAACTATCAGTACATAAAAATAAAGCATGACCTGCCATAATGTATTAAAATTTATAAAAGTTTGGTCCTAGATTCCTTGGAAAGGTCTTTCCCTTTGGTTTCTGTCACTAGCTTTCATATACATAACCAGTATGAAAAAAAGAAATATGGGAACAACCAAATCTATATGCTTGATAGGAAATATTATATATATAGTGAAGGGAAGTGTTGTGCTTATACAAATAAATCTATCAAGTGATAGAAACTGAGGATAAAATTTTACAAAGTATTTTCTATGTGTCCTTTCTTTTCACACAAAAATTAGTGAAAAAACACAGAAATGGGAGAAATAAAACTTAAAAAGTAGTTTTTTAAAAATTGATAAGTTGACTCGGGCACAGAGCCCACGCCATCTTGAAGGGGAGAGAGGCCTCTTCTAGGAACTCATCAGCACCACCACCCAGACAGGCCTGGGATACTGCCCGCAACCCAGCAGCCACTCCAGCCAAAATCCTGCTGCCCACCCGCAGACTCGCAGACCCTGGGATCTCCACCTCGAAAGGAACACCGCGCCCCGCCCGCAGCAGTAAGTGCAGCCTCCACCTCCCCAGCAGCAGACCTCCGACATCGCATTTGTGCGTCTCCAGCGTCACTGTAAGCCCCAGCTGGGTGTGATTTTGTACAGACACAGGCGCACTGCCCCCCAGTAGAAATTCTGAATTCCCTCTGCCTGAATAACTGCCCACACACACCCAGCTGCGCAACTTAAGCGCCAGGACCCTTCGGCGCCAGGGTCCCTCAGAATGCGTCAGAGTTCAGTGCCCGGCCAAGGCACTGCCACAGTTGCTTACTCCCCCTGAGCCCATCTATCCACAGGGCACTTTGGGAAGCCGCAGTGAGCCTCTGCTGGGCCCAATCTTGGACAAATAGGGACGCACTCCCCTGGGCAGTAGAAATTCTGATTTCACCCATCCTGGATACCTGCCCAAAGACGTCTTGATTAAGCATGCCAGGACCCTTCAGAGTGCTTCAGTGCGCCTGCGCTAGCAAACTCACTGCAGGCACTCCTGTGTGCCACCACCGGGAACGCACGCCTTATCCACCACAGGTGCATCAGCAAAAACTGAGTTTCCCCACCCCACAGCTGCAGAACTCTGGACACTACAGTTGTGTGCTTTTCCAGCGTGTAGGTCTCCCAAGACCAGCAACCCTGAGGCCCCGCTGTGAGCCCCACTGGACACACACTTACAAAAACAGGGGTGCATTGCTGGGCTGTAGAAACGCTGAATTTCCTCTTCTGGGATACCTGCCCACAGACACTGCAATCCAGTGGCTTCAGTGCCAGGGCCCCTCAGAGTGTGTCAGTATACCCTGCTAGCAAACATACCACAGGTGACCCTGTGAACTGCCGCTGGGATTGCGTGTATCCAACCATGGAGGCAGCAGCAAAAGTTGAGTCTGCCCAACCCACAACCACAGAACTCTGGACACCACAGTCACGCCTTTCCAGAACACAGTCCTCCCGAGCCCTACCACCCCAACGGATGGTTCCTGGGTGTCACTGTGAGTACCAGCTGGGCACGCATGATTTCAACCAAGGGCACAAGACAGCAAAAATTGGGACACCCCATCCACGGCTGCTGACTTCTAGACACCTCAGTTGCGCCTTTCCAGCTTGCAGGCCTACATCAAGAGAACCCAAATAGCTCAAGTAGGGAGCTACACTAGACTACTAAACCCAGGAGACCTGAGAGGTCACATTGAGTCTGCCCAACCCACAACCACAGAACTCTGGACACCACAGTCACGCCTTTCCAGAACACAGTCCTCCCGAGCCCTACCACCCCAACGGATGGTTCCTGGGTGTCACTGTGAGTACCAGCTGGGCACGCATGATTTCAACCAAGGGCACAAGACAGCAAAAATTGGGACACCCCATCCACGGCTGCTGACTTCTAGACACCTCAGTTGCGCCTTTCCAGCTTGCAGGCCTACATCAAGAGAACCCAAATAGCTCAAGTCGGGAGCTACAC